CGTTGCCGTACTCTACGCCGGCTAAGCACCACGCGACTCACGAGCACGACGTACGGGCAGCGAGATGGAGCGCGGTCTGCCCCGACACGTCCTTGATCGTCAGGTCGGGCTGCGCCTTCATCATGATCTGCACAGACACGCATCTGTGAGTGCAACAATGGCGATGGCGATAGGAACGCACCTCGAGCATGTCGAGGTAGCTTTGCGGCTGCTGCGCCAGCGCCAGCATCAACGGCGTGAAGCCGGCCTTCTTCTCCTGGAGGTTGACGTTCGCGCGGTGGTTCACGAGAAACTCGACCATTTCCAGCTGCGCTTCGGCGACCGCCACATGCAGGGCTACAGGAGCGTGAGAAGCAAGGACCCGTGGAGACGGCCGTACCCGACTCGCCCTTCTTGTTCTGGAAGTGGATGTTGTCCAGGAGCTTCTCGACCTTGTCAATGTCGCCATTGCCTACGCCTGCGCGTGAGGCCCATCGTCGTCCGAGCGGTCCGACCTGCTGCCTTGAGGAATTGCGCCATTGCCTCCGCTTCGTCAACAGGACAACCTTGAGGTGCCCACCCTGCCTCTAGGAACACGCAACGTTGTACCACGTACGGTAGCACTGTCGGCGCTCTGCTTGGTTGACTAGGTTTTTGTATGTTGTACTGCAAAATGGATCTTGGCTGCTCACATCACGTCGTACCTCCTTTGCATTTGCGCGTGATATGAGGTACATAGATGTACACGTGCCGTATGAAAGAAGCAACTCGATCTTTGCGACCCCACCTCTCATGCCCGCGATGTAAAGTCCCTCGCGTTGGTCCCAAGTTGCGTGCCACAAGCCTTGAAAACCTCTAGTGGCTCTAATACTTCGATCGGAGATGGAATACAAGAGGTATTTCTGACGTAATTCGAAGTTCGAAGCAGAATATTTTGGGCTCACTTTTTGGGTCTTATCTTTCCCACCAAGCTCGAGCAAGGTCGACGCAAGCAACCGAGCCCTCTCATGGACGGCGACGGAGGTAGTATGAAGAAGCTCCATGCTTCCTTAACCATCTTGACCTCATGATGGGCCTATGCTCGTAGCATCCTGCAGCATGTCCCTCGATAACAATACCAAGCCCGACGGCGTGTACCTCTCGCCCGTCGAGAAGGCGCGCATCCTCACACTGCTGGGCAACATCCAAGCAGAAGTTGCGGTTCAAGAGAAGCGTCTACAAGAGCAAGCGCATCTTCTCGACTATCAGCAGCGGGAACTCGTGACGCTGCGCAAGGCCCATGGTCGCGGTAGCAAGGTCGATGTCGCCTTGAGCCCAAAGGCGCTCAAGGACATGCCCGATATGGAGCCGCACGAAGAGAGCGACTGCGCGTCTACCATCTCAGAGCCTGCGCCAGAGCCGAGCCCGACCCTCTCAGAGCCAACGTCGGGCCCGAGCGTCGTGCTCACGATAGCCGACATTCACGAGGAGCTCGAGAAGCTTCCGAACGATCTGCCTCTGCGCAAGCACGTCGAGTGGCTCTGCGACCATGTCGCCAACAATGCGGCAGCGTCCATGCAGCGCCGGGTGTCGTTGCCCAACATCAAGGCGCTGCAGCTCGTGCTTGGCAAGCTTATGGACCAAGCCACGTCCACTGCGTCGTACGTCGACCAGCTTCGTCGCATAGATGACCCCTCGATCAAGATGGCAGCGAAAGAAGAGTTCTCAACAGCAAGCAATGGTGTTCAAGCCCAGTACGAGACGCTTGCTGCATCTCACAAGGCGCTCCAAGCCGCGTACAGTGACCTGCAAGCCCAGTACGACCGTGCGTGCGGTCGTCATGCGGCAAGCTTGGAGACTACCGAGACACAACTCATGGCGCTGCATGAGCAGGAGACAACAAGATCGCTTGCAAGCAATGAAATCGCCGTCCGCTTGGAGACGGCGCAAGCCGACGCGTTGGACGCTCGGCGCCGGCTCGTCGACCTCGAAGCACAGCTCAGCTCAATGACGGACAATGCTCGCACGCTGCAAGCTCACTGCGGCGAGCTCGAGGCGTACATCGAGTACTTGACGGCGACGCTCGAGACATCGCAAGCCGACCAGGACCGCGTTCTCTGCGAGCAGCGCGAGACCATCGAGGCGCTGGAAGACACGATCGCGCAGCTTCGTGCTGCGCATGCGGCCACGATGGCTTCCCTCGAGCGCGATAAAGCACGCTGGCGACGCGAGGCGGCATCACCCACGGCCCTCCTTGGGCGACTCAAGACCCAAGTCACGGCGCTGCAACGCGATATCGCGGCACTCAAGACAGAGAATGCCCGACTGCGCGACGAGGGGATGGTCAAGGCAGACGAGCTTGCGGCGACGGCAGCGTGGCAGGCGACCATGAAGGATCTCGTCGCCAAGGTCGAGGTTGTGAACGCTGGCCTCTTGGACGACTGCCGCGCCGCCAAGGTCCGCATCGACGTTCTAGAAAGCGAGAAGGCCGCGTTGCAAGCCAACATGAACGCGCATCTTGACAACGTCCGAGCCGCGAAAGACGAGGGCGCTCAGCCGCGGTGCGCTATCGAATGCCTCGCGGTGGAGTAGTATTCTTATCCGTTGCAAGTAGATCGGCGCCATCGATCGACACGCTTGCCCGAGTGGAATCGGTCGAGAACAAGTACAAGCGAGCGCGTCACCTCTACGGCATGCTCAAGACGAGCTTTGGTCGCCTCCAGGAGAGCCACGACATGCAGAGCCGCGAGCTCGACCGGCTCCGCGATCTCGTCCGCACGCGCGACAACCAGCACGAGCCCGACGACGAGGCGCTTTTGCCCCATGAGACGAAAGAAGGTGACGCCATGACCATCCACACGCTCCACGACATGGTGAGCGGTCGGCTTCTCGAGTTCAAGTCGGCCCTCGACCAGCTTCGGCGGCGCCCAGACGCACCCGAGCACGCACCGCTGCAGCACTTTCTTGCGGTCGAAAATGTCTTTTTGTCGGCCCTCCGCGGACGCCTTCTTTTACTAACTTAAAATCGTTTTGGATGTTCTAAAACATTCATATATATTCATATTTTTCTACAAGACATTAATGTGTACTATTTGTCTTGCAGACGCATGAAGCCTAAAACAAGCCGACGTGCGCAGTCTACAGCTACCTACACAAGCGACTCGTCCACTTGGCTTCTGGCATCCGAATCTATCGACGACGATGGACACCATCGGGAAGGTAGAGTCGACACAAACGATGCCCTCATCATGATCCTTCCTCGCCGACTCGTTCGGGTGCTCGTTGCGACCCCAGACATCTCTAAACATCCTCTTCCCACTATACTCTTGCGACACGCGCAAGGACAGCAAATATCAAGGTATCGATTGCGGGTAGGCGGTGATCAGTTGACGGTCGAGAGCGCGTTTAAGAGCGCTTGGCGTTGGTCCATGACCTCCGGGTCACTCGAGCGTGTCGCTTCGTCCAGCGTCTCGAAGATCGCTTCAAATTTGTTGAATTGGACCTTGGCGCGCTCCAGCTCGTCGTTATTAAAGAGCGTGAGGGCATAGTTGAGGTGAAACATGTGGTCCCTACACGTCCATACACTATTGTCTACCGTACCCACGACAAAAAAGTAGTATACGCTTCCATCTCGATCGCCTTGTCGTACGCACTGCACGCATTCTCAAAGTCATCGAGGCGCCCGAGCGTAATCGCAAGGTACATGTACGAGCTCGGAAAGTCGGGTTTGAGGTTGATGGCCGCGCTAAAGTAGTGGAACGCCGATGCGTACTGGCCCGTGTTGAGATGCACGAGCCCGAGGTTGTACGACGTGATCCACTCGAACGGGTCCAAGTACAGCGCGCGCTTCAGGCTCGCGACCGCCTACGCCAACCCCAGCTCTCAGATGCAGTAGAAAATACAGCAGCGTGTACCGCGACAAAGCGCTGTTTCCCAAAGAAGCACATGCCAATGTTGTTCCAGAGTTGCGCCGAGTTGGGCGTCTAAATGTCGCCGTACGAATGCGCTCTTTCTGCATTTTGACAAGTAAAGTACCTGAACCGCCGCGACACGATACTTGACGAGCGCCACGTCCATGTCGCCATGGTCTTGAATGATCGAGCCCGCGGCAAGGATCGTCTAGGCATGATTGGTGAGTCGTCCGAAACAAGACGCGCAAAAGACACCTTGGCGTTGCGGGGGTCGTGCGTCATCGAGTTGCCAAGATAGTCGAACGCGCGAAAGTTCTCGCCAATGCGAAGGTACAGTAGCCCGATCGTAGTGAGCAGCTCCGGGCTCTCGGGCGAGAACTCGAGCGCCTCGAGGTAGACGTTGATGGCGGCTTTAAAGTCATCCCGAAGCGTGTGGACCTTGCCGAGCTGGAGAAAGGTCGTGTCGTGGCGGTGGACGTTGTTGGCGTGCTGGAACGCCTCAATCGCGTGGTCAAAGTCCTTGAGGTACATGTAGCAGAGCCCAATGTTGTGCGAGACTTCCCAGTCCTCCAAGCCCGGGAGCTTCTGCGTTTCTTCGTACACCTCGATCGCGGCCTTGTGCTTCCCGAGCAAGTAGAGCGACCGCCCGACCTGCTTGAGGTTGTCCTTGTTTTCGGGATTGAGGCACGTCGCTGCCTGGAAGAGCTGCAGTGACTCTTGGATGCGCCCGTTGCGCTGCAAGATGAGCGCTACGTCCATCTATCGTACCTCTGCATTACGAAGGAAGATGGACCTTTGACGTAAATGGGGAATTCGCACAGCCCGTGGTGCTCCTTTAGCATCTCCTCGATGAGCCGGAGACACTCGGTGTACTCTTGGCGCAAATACAGTTTGTGGATGAGGTAGTTCTTGGCCGTCATCGGCGGCTCCATCCGCGGGGGGCCGCGCGCGCTCAGCGGCGAATTGGTATCGTCCACGTCGCCCATTTCGACTGCTGCAAAGTGAAACCCTCGAGCCACCGTTGAGAATAGTATACGGACACGAGAAACGTCCATCCTCGTCGGCAAGCGCCAGATAATGAAGACCGTTGCTGGTAGTGTGTAGCTACCGTTGGATGTGTGACAACGGAAGTTGAGGGCCTTGGAAGATAACATAAGACGGTGTCCATGAATCCACTGCGACGCGGTTGCGATGGAGACGACCATGAGCTCCACCGACCAGCCAAGTTAACGCCAGACCGACAACGTTGTTGGGGAATATCTGGCCCAGCACACGTTGGGACTGCGACCGTAACGCAGTTGTGAGTTTGAACACAGAAGAATGATCCATGCAGGGGATGGTGGTAATCGCGAAGGCGGTGCAATCATGAAGCGTGTTGTGCGCCTGCAACTCTAGTAAGCAGACTTTTTGGACGCAGATGCCACCCTCTACCAGCTGCGTGAGCACGATGCAGTCGCGAGGTAGTGTTGCGACTCGCTACCAGCATCTGCGCGAGTTGGAGCGCAGCTACGTGAACTCTACACAACCGAGATTATCGATCCACCGTGTCAAAGGCGTGTAAGCCACCAATTAGAGTAGACAGGAGACATCGAAACGTGGGAATATACTTGTTGCATACCAAAGAATACACCTTTTCAATGCAGTACGCCGTTGAGGCTGATGAAGCTCATGCAGCAATAGTACTGCCGGCGGTCCTCGGGGATGTCGGCGTCGCCCTCTTGCTCGTCGTCGTCGAGCTGATATTGGTGCTTGCCGTGCAGCGAGAAGCGGACGCGCCATGCCAAGTCTTGCAAGAACACACACTGCGGCAGCTCAAAGCACTGCAGCTACAGTACGACTTTAGTTGCGTCCACGAAGAAGAAGAAACATCGTCGTAATACCTCCATGGCGTTCTTAATGTCGTACCGCGGTGACGAGTACACGACCGCGTCGGCCGTCGACAGGATCGACAGCGACACCTGCCGCGGTGCGTACGTGGGCTGCCCGAGTTGCCACGACGCGCGGTAGGGCACGATTTGCAGGCCCTTTAGGATGCACGAGCCGCGGACCATGTAGTCGATGAACTCGTCGCTGTTGGGGTCGCGGCTTGGCCCACTAGTGTGAAGAGATGGTCTCGACATCCATTTGATGTAGTAGTACCTGCTCCAGTAGCACTGGCCCATCGAGCAGCCGCAGACCAGCCTACACATCGGCCGTCTTTAGCAAGCAGGTTGGTATTGCCCAGCGATCTCAAGTCGCACCGTTGAATCGTATAGTCAAAGAGCGACCTGTCGTTGGCAAACTCGCGGACGCCCGGATCCTTGTACTTGACCATTTCGCGAAAGCAAAGCGACGGATGGAGCGTGTTGTCCGCGCTCTCTTCCTTTTCGCGGTCGACCGACGAGTACCCTAGTTGCATGGCATGGAACCTCGGCGCTTTGGACGCCGACGCCTACCGGCCACGTCGTGGAGAAGCGAAATGCTGTCCGTCTTGTTGCCGACCATCAAATGGTTGGCGCACGCAAAGGCCTTCCAGTCTTGAATGTTGCAGGTCGTACGGGGCGGGCGCGGGAAGCTCACGGCCTTGACGACCGACTGCCGCCAGTAGCCTACATGCGACGTGACGCCGAGGCCATGGCCCGCAGCATCTACCGCCATCGCGCGTGTGGCGCTGGAAGCACCGGCACGTGGCCTCGAGCGCATGGAGGTCGTTGTGGTCGAGGTACTCGGCGACGTAGCCCACGACCTCGTCGGGCCATGCGTCGCCGAAGATGACCTTGGACTTCTTGGCTTCCGTCATCTTCAACCAACTTGCGCTGAAGCTTCACAACTCTTTCGAAATCGATCCGGTCAAGTGCGATTCTAAAAACACGCCACCTGTCCGGACCGAGTCCAGATACCACATCGCGCGTCGCAATGTGTTTAAGGTCGTCGTCACGTTGCGCTAGGGTACTAGTACAATCCAGTGGTCCATGCCCATATTCTAACGTGTCTACTTGCAGCGTCGAAACGGAAGAGATGGCCATAGACGCGCTGCCATGACGCCAGCACATCGTTTGCCTAGTAGCACGCAACTGCAAATTCAGCGGAATTCAGTCTGCGGTTTCCTGCTCCAGTATTTCAGTACGAACGCTCGTCTCGTTAGTACCGAGGTACCAGTAGCCGGCATATTATTGTGCTGACCCGACGCTCGTGCATTGGCCACGATCCGACGAGCCTGCTGCTGCAGGAGGGTTGCGTGAAATTAGCGTCAGAACATGAGATGCGATCCAGTGCACTTGCCAACGACATACAAACACCAAGTACAAAACGTTAAGTCCGATCTTCGATTCTCAAACCAGAGCAAGGACGCAGGTGGGCAGAAGCAGGTTGGTCGCCTCGGACTGCAATGCGATCGTTGACCTTGGAGCCGCTTCTGCTCGTCTCGACCGAGAGCGTCGAGTTCTGCGGGTCGTCGTCCGTGGCGCTCTTCACGCTCACGTCCAACTGTGAGTACCCGGTGGCCTTCCAGGTCCTGCCATCCGACGACAGCCGGTACCGCGCGCAGCCCGACCAAGGCGTGTTGCAGCCAGCGACGTCGGTGGCCATCCACATTGACGCGCTCGTCAAGACAAGCGAGCTCGACACGACCGCCGACCTCCTCCGCGTCTTCTGCACGTGGGTCGAGACACCGTCGGACGCAGCCGCGCCGGCCTTCTGGACGAGCATTGCACCCGCCGAGATTCAGAGTCATTCGCTGGGCGTCGTCGTCTCGGAGCACAAGCCGTACATCCCGATGAGCAGCAATAGCACCGTGGCCAAGATGGTCTGCAAGTTGCCGGCAATTGGCGACACGTGGATCAATGGCCTCGCCAACGAGTACGACGCACGGTTCCCGCCCGACTTGGCGCCGTTCATGTCGGAAGAGGACTTTACCTCGGCCATGAAGCTCGTGAACGAAGCGCTCATCGACCATTGGCCATGTGTTCCTTGCATGTCGGTCGGGTATGGTTGCTGCATCTGCACGGGCGGGCTCTCGCTCTACTGCGCGTGGGGCCAGATCAAGGAGGCCGAGGACGCGGCCGTGCGCCAGCTTGGCCGACTCAACCGCCGCCCGTGCTTTGCAAGCCGCAACATCTCGTGGAGCCTACGCCGCGTCTGGTACCGTCACGCGAGCTGGATCGAGATCACGATGCAAGCCGTGTAGTAGCCTTTACGACTCGTTATTTTGTGTAATTACATTTTGGGAAAACGACTATCAACTAGTACTACTCTACGAACGACTCGAGCGCCGTACAATGCGACATCATTACGCATCCTCTGGCCGGAGGTGCTGGAACGACTGCATTCGATCCGGGTGGCTCCAGCTGTAGGTATGAACAATCGTGTGCGGCAGGCGGCAAAACTCTTCAAAGCTGAGCTGCCGCCGCATGCTCGGCGAGAGGTGGCTCGGGATGTCTGGCACGCACGCGTACGATTCGAGGAGCTCCTTGAATTTCTTGGACAACTTGAATTCCGTAAAGGTCGGGCCGCCGAGGAGCCCGAGCATCTCGGTGCGGGCGGCCCGGAAGAGTCCTTTGTCCAGCTCTGGGAGCTCCACAGCCGCGACCACGGACGCGATGGCCTCGGCCGAAATGGGCACCTAGCGTTTGAGATCCCATCAACATGCGGAATGCCATGCGAGAATTGCGAGTACGCGCTTGGAAGCACCGAGGCTCAAGTAGTCGTTGACGATCGTCCGCGCGTTTTCCGGAGCTCGTCGTAGTCCATGGACGCAAAGCCAGACACGAATTCTTCAATCTCTTCCAAGAGACCGAGTCCGTTCATCATGGTTCTACGACCCGGTTCATAAAACGACAGCGGGCGGTAGGTGTACCGCGTTGCTTCGCTGTAGTTGGTCGGTCTCGACTCGATATAGACGAGCCATAGCTCGTGCGCTTCGTAGTGATCGATGACATCTTCGATGCGCGCGAGTTCCTGGAGATTTCGGAGCAGAAACTCGGAGAAGACTTCGCGCAGCGTGGAGAAGAGTCCATGGAACGCAAGTGGTGTCATTGCCAGCAAGATCGAGTCTTCGGCCGCGGTTGCCGTGATGAGGCTCTTGCAGTGGAGCATGACGGAGATCTCGCCGCAGTAGCCGCCGGGCGGCAGCGTCACGTACGACTTGCCCGTCGGAAATGGGTACTCGACCTCGACGAGGCCATTCAAGACGATATAAAACACTAGGAACATGGTAAGACCGCGAGACTTTTGAGTACAAACGGCAATACTTGGTTCGTCGTCTTCGTGGATGAACGTCGTGCCTTTTGCGACTTCGGTGAGCGAGCCAGCTTGGGCCATGCGGCACTGGTCCTCGCCCTTCATAGCAGCGACAAAGTTGTGCACGTTGTGCTTGGTGGTGATTTGCAGCAGGCGCGCAATGATGACTAATACAAAGACACCTTGTCCACAAACATGTGTTGCATCATCCCATGCGTACCTTCTTCGAGCGCCGACTTGACATCCGGACAGACTTTGATAAAGTTGCGAAAGGCCGGGGCTTCAATGTACACCAAGAGCGAGGTTTCGACCGCTTTGACCGTCGCACTGCGCTTGACGTTGAGCAAGAGCGAGATCTCGCCAAAGTAGCTGCCGTTCGCGAGCCGCCGAATGAGCACTTCGCTCATCGCGAGCGACGGCCGGTGGCGCTCGAGGCGGCGCTGCGATATGGACTTGGACGAGACGCGCAGCGTGGGTTTCGCGGTCTGGTTGGCGACCGTCACCTGCAAAAGGCCTTCGATGCAGATGTAAAAGCGGTCGCCGAGGTCGTTCTCTCGGCACACAACGTCATCTTTCTGCACAACGAGGAACGAGCAGAGACCCGCAAGGCCGAGGAGCCGCGTGCTCGTCACGTCTGCAAAGAAGGGGACACCAGCTACTTGAAAGTCATTCCAGCCGTCCACAATGCAATTCGATACCGAGATAGTCGACAACTTGTTCGTCTGCAATCGACGAGATGAGCTGCCAGTCGTCCGTGGCCGACTTGGTCGCGCGGTTGATTGTCAAATGGTACGTGCCCTACAAATGAAGATGGTTGATGCGAATCGCGTTGGAGTTGCGTCGTCGTACGTCACGAATGTGTTTGGAGCGGATTTTGAGAAAACGCTCTCGGTTGAGTCGCAAGACGACGCAACCTTCCTTCTTGTCCGCCGTCACCTACCAACGACCGTACTATTGTGCCGAGGCCGATCGAATCCTCGTACGGTGACGAGGTCGAGCATCGCTGTGACGTTCTTGCCACCGGCGTAACTGGCTGCCGCCGTGGACGACTTGCGCTGCATGATGGCCGTGGCTTTCGTGACGTTGGTCAAGATGTCGCCAACGCGCTTCTTGCAGAGGACTTCGGTGACCTTGACCTTCTTGTGCGCGGTCTGGGGCACGATCGTACTCACGTCCGCACTGCCTTTGGCGACGATGACGAGTTCGTGCTTCTGAAACGCGATCGGTGCGCCGGCTTCGAACTTGATGGTGCCAAAGCAAAGTGCAATGTCGTGGAGGACTTCCTTGTTGAGGAACATCGCGAACGGCGTGTTCTCGAGCACGTGCAGCCGCTGGTGCGTCGGGACGTACGCGCTCACGTGGTTGCCCATGCCCGTGAGCGACTAAGAATAGCACCGTGATGTAGTAGTTTTTATATTCGTCAATAAATAGTCTACACAATCGTCGTAACCAACGTGTCCTTTTTGGCGCTCCGAGTTGAACCAGTTTTTGCTTCAATTCATCCCCGCAGCGAAGACGCCTGCACTGTCTTAGGCATTACCGTACCGAGCAGTGTCGAGACTGTGGATAACACTGCGAAGGACGATGTGAAAAATGCAGGTGGGGTTACGCAACGTGTACTAGTAGCAGTGCTGATTGGAACGGAGTGAAATGGCATAGTATTAGTGCGCGTACTGTCCTTGGATTCTGATTGGATGCGAACAATGCAGGTAATGCACCGGTATAGCATCTTCTAGGCGCGGGTGATGCGGGACTATTGCTCGAGAGAGCATTCGCTTTGTGCCCACATGCGCACTTCGATGGTCTCCCAACCCAATGCCGGCAGAAGCCTGTTTCCAGGGCACGTTTCGGTATTTAACCTGGTTTCAAACTTTACTGTCCAATGTAGTGCGCACACTATATCATACCACTAATTATAGTATGAGCGATTGGCATTTATAGTGTGTGGATTCAAAAACACGTTGTTTCTTTTGAATTTACCGTAAAAATACACTACATTATGCGGAAACACATGGCATTATGCGGATATCTACGCGCCATGTCGAAATCACTGTATCGGATTTGTCTTGAGGAGCATTTGCTTGAGCCTACATGAGGAACGCGAGCTTTTGCACACGTAGCAATGCCAAAAATACGGTCAATAAGTGGAATTAAGACCGTACTTTTACAGGATCAAATTCTACAGTACAGTTCAGTTCTACTTTGTTTTCAAAGTTGACATCACAAATGACTTTGATGATCGTATGTGACCACGTCCGTTGACTCGGGATGTCGGCCAGAAACTCGAATTGAGTTTTGAGTTGCTGGCTCTTGATGAACGTCCACCGTTGCTATTCCAAGACGGTGTGAGCGGACGCTGGTGTTATGAGAAGTCATTTGTTTTCTATTTTTTATCCATTTCTCGATTTTACACTACTTTATGCGCAAAATACATCACCGACTTCGAGCCGCCTACATGTCGATTCTTGACACGCCGAGTACAAGAAAGCCATCCAACAAGTAGAGCTCTCTTCGCAGGCATAGCTGTAGAGCACTGGTTGCATCGATGGGACGTGGCGAATTCCTCCGACAAAATAGGCGAACTCTTTGTAACAACGAAGATAACGCGAAACACGTTCATATATAAAATAGACGAACGATCGTAGCATACAATATCCGTCACTAGTAGTTGGCACTATGCAGAGTGTTCCGAGGCCGAGTGCTATCATCTTTTATTGGGTTCGGGCGTCTCCGGCTCACCAAGTGTGATGGCATTGGCGTCTTCTTGGAACGAGTGGTCTTTGAGGTCCTCAAAAGGCCGACCGGCCGTATCGGGCTGCGTCTGATAGAGCAGCTGCGTCTCCGAGCCCGAGGTATATATCTATGAAGGGCGTCTCTCCTCGGAAGCGGTCAATCCTGTCGTCAACCGCTCGTGTCCGTCCTCTGCGAGACTTGCAATCGATTGCACGTCTCGACGGATGCAAATTGTGTATACTGTATACTACAACAACGATAGCGCGAATCACGTTCATGTAGCTCGACCCAACTTTTTCAACCTGGCTCGTGCAGTCTAGGGTTGATGTGTTGTAGTATCTAGCAATACGAAATACAGTGGAAACGCTTCTACGCCTTGGACGCACGGTACGCCGCCTCCTTGCCCGCGGCGCGGTACTTGGCTTTCTTCTCGGCCTTGTGCACGTCGGCAAACTTGGCTTCTTCGCGGGCCTTGCGCTTGAGGTTTTCCTTGGACCGCTCCTTTTGCTTGGCGACGCGGATCGCATTCTTTTCGCGGCGGAGCGTGTTGACTTGCTGAATGAGTGCGTACTTCTTGCGTTCCTCGGGCTCGAGAACGACCGCGCGCTTGGTGACATACGACTCGGTCTTCTTGCCCTTCTTCTTGTCCAACTTGGGCTTGCTCGCAAACGGGAGCTGCGCCTGGAGCTTGGCCGGCACGCGGAGCGGGTTGAAGATTTTGGCCTTGCGCTCGATCGGCTTGTAGACCGAGTCGGGGTTGACGGGAATCGGGAGCTGATTTTGCTGCCGCAGCTCGCGCATGGTCTTCATGCGGCGCCACTTGGGATCGAGAAGCGACGTGACCGGGTTGTACAGCAGCTTGGGCTCGACCGGGACCCACGTGCGGCAAAACACAATGTCCGACTTGAGAATCTTGTCTTCAAACGTCGCACGGAAGTCGCCCTTGCCGCCGCGCTGCGCTTTCTTGACCTGGCCACGAATGCCACTGACCGTGCGGAGGCTCGCGCCCTCAAACTTGGCGACTTCGAGCTCCGTGTTGAACATGCCCTTGATGAACGCCGTGTTCTTGTGCACTTTGGTCGGGTGGCCAATGAGCTTGAGCTTCTTCATCACCGAGAACGTGTGGTCGAGCTCGAGGACGACGCCGGTCGCGCTCACGCGGAAGCCGTCGACCTTGTTGGACATGTTTTGGAAGGCCATGACACCCGTGTTGGGCGGGCAGATCGGCGCGTAGATCGTCGCCGAGCAGTGCATGTGCTCGGGTGTGTACTTGAGGTACCGATGGCGCTCGTTCTGGTCTTCGATCGAGAAGAGCGGGAGCGACTGGAACCGCCGCCAGCCAATCGAAAACACGAGCGGGTCGTTGGCCTTGAGCACCTTGCGGTGCCAGCGGTGCTTCTTGATGCGGAGACGCATGAGGCCAAGGGCGTGTTCGTGCGGGAGGAGGCCGCCGACCACGATCGGCGTCGTCGGGTTGGCGCACGTGACAAACTCGCTCGGGACACCGTGGATCTCGATGCGCACGTAGAGCCCGTTGCGGAAGCCCTCGAGCTGGAGACGCGTGTCTTCGCCTTCCTTGCCAAACTCTTCGGCGTTGCGAAGCGCTTGGGTTTCCTTGAGACGCTTGGCCTCGGCCATGATCTCGGTGATCTCTTCGTCCTCCTCTTCCTTGTCCTTGTCGTCGTCCGAGTCCAAGTTGGCGCGCTTCCGCGCCTTCTCTTCGCCGATGCGCTTCCGCATCTCTTCGGGCGACTCGTCTTCGGGGTGTCGTCGTCGCTGCCAACGTCGTCGTCGTCGTCGTTCGCATCGTCGTCCATGCCACGATGGACTTCTCCCGTCTCCAGGTCCTCAAACGACCCATCGACGTCATCGTCACCCATGTCGACGTCGTCGTCACCGGCCGTCGGCTTCTTCCACGAGCCCGTGACAAACTTGTTGCGGAGACTCTCGAGGAGGTCGGGCATGTCCCACGCCTGGAGCTCGGCCGGAACGTACTTGCTCGAGTCGAGGCTGTTGATGTCATCGCCATCGTCCGCGGCCGACGCCGACTTCTTGTCCTTCTTCTTGTTGGCGGCGTTCTTGGGCCGGAAGAAATCGTCGTCGTCATCGTCGTCGTCGTTCTCACTGTCGTTGGCGCGGGCAGCATCAGCGTCCGCAATGTGCAGCTTCTCCGTCGCACCGTACACGAGCTCCATGAGGTTGATGTCGCTCTGCTCGCGCTCGAGAAAGTTCATGGCCGCGCGCTCGACAAGCTTGTCCTTCCAGCGCATCTGCGACGCCTCCGCCGACGCCGGCGCTTCTTCTTCCTCGTCTTCGTCCTCATCTTCGTCTTCGCTGTCATTGTCGTCCGAGGACGAGCCGTCACGCATGGCTTCGTCGTCGTTGCCCGAGTCGGCCTGGTTCATGTCAAAGACAGCGCGGCGACGCACGCGCCCCGACGCGTCCGTCTCGATACTCTCCTTCGGGTTGGACTTGCGCGCCTTGGACGCGTCCTCGTCATCATCGTCGTCATCTTCGTCCTCGTCGTCGTCGTCGTCGTCATCGTCGCTGTCAGCGTCATCTTCGTCGTCCTGGACGTCGTCATCGCTGTCGAGCTCGTCCGCGCGGATCGCCGCCGTGTTCTTGAAGAGCGACATGGTTGCGCCCTTGAGACGCTCGTCAATGCCGAGGCCCGACTCGATCTGCTGGAGACTCTGGACCATGTCCGTGCCTTCGCCGCCCTTGCCTTGGACGGTCTCGTCGCCGTCGCCCTCAATGTCGTCCTTCTTCGAGTAGTTGACGGTCCCGAGGTTGATGTACACGGCGTCCTTGTCAAACATAATGTTGCCGACGCTAATAGCATTGATATCAGTGCATGCCACCAATATATGGATGTCATTCGTACTCGGACATGGGCGCGTAGAGCATAATGTCCTTCTGCGAGAGATGCTTCTTGACCTTGTCGCTGCTCTTGGACGGCAGCGGGCACGGGTCCGGGAGCGACGTGACCGACTCCATGTAAAAGTCGCCGGCGCCGGCGACGTGGACCTTCATGCCGGGCTTGAGGTGCGTGCCACGGAGGTACCCGTACAGCGTGATCTTGCGATCGCACACGGGGTTTTGCTGGATCGCGTCGGGGTGCGTCACGTCTTCAAAGCGGTCGACAAGCAGATACGGGTGCGAGTTGCGCCATGTGAGCGGGCGGAACTTGATGCGCGCAATGTACAGCATCATGTTGTTGATTTCGCCCTTGGGGTACTAGATTCGGATGTGAGCAATAAGAAATGAGAATTGGGCGAACCCACCTTGTTGGAGACGATGCCGGAAAAGTAAAAGAGCTTGGCGCCCTGGTAAATTTCGGTCCAGAAGCGGCTCTTGAGGCGCTTCTTGGTCTGGCGCAGACTCTTGTTGTTCTTGAACTTGTCGAGGTGCGTGAGGATGCCCATGACCTTGGGGAAGCCCGAGACCTATGCCATCGTGAGCATCGATTGAGACGAATAGGGACTCGGGTCGTACTTGAAGGATGTTGAGGAACTCGAACGTCTCCATCTCGAAACCAAAGCTAGCGTCGACCATGAGCAAGACGAGGTCGGCAATCTTGGCCAGATCCTAGACGCCGTCCTGAGCACCTCGTGTCCATGTACAGAAAAGGCGTACGATCATTGCGTTGAGGTCGTTGGGGCACTCGAAGAACGTGATGCGGCGGTCCTTGCCGCTAATGACCGTGACCGGGCCCTTGATCTCGCCAATGTTGTGGCGCGTGTAGCGCTTGACGAGCGACCGGATGAGCGTCGACTTGCCCGAGCCAGGCGGGCCCATGACGACGACCGAGACAGGCGGCGGCGTGTCCTCCATGCGGTCCACCTGCGGCACGTACTCCTTTTGGTGGGCCTTGTCAAGGTTGCGCTGCGTCATGCGCTTGGCCTTGCCAATCTTGGAGACGCCAAAGGCCTTCGGGTTGTTCTTGGCATTCTTGGCCTGCTCGTTCTTCTGCGCGTCGTTGCGCTTCTTCTTGTTGACCTTGGCGCCGCTCGTGGACTTGCGGTGCTGCTTGGTGCGCTTGCCCAGGAGGTCCTTGTCCATGGTCAACTTGATGCGAATATGCTGCCAGGATCACCAACCACCAGGAATCGCACGCTGTGATTGGCCATCAAAAACGACTGGGATTGGTGCAAAACCTTTCTCTTTTCAGCCAATCAAACGTGAAACACCGCGCTAGAAGACTGGCGCCAAAGCGTCGCGGTGAGCCTAACGATATAAAATGGATGCAGGTACACCGTAGGCAGCACATCGTGGTCTCCGACCTAATCATCATCTTGATCGAGTGCACAGCAGAGGAACTCACCGGTATTCCCTTGCCCGACCATCGAACAATTGACCTTGAACGCACAAGCAGCTTCGGGTACTACTTCAAGCTTTGCCATAGGCTCCAAGCGGTTAAAGAGCTACCTGGTAGTATTGATTCTTGACCTGTCGAAGGGGTTTGCTGTAAACGAAACAAAATACAGAACCTAGTACTACTGCACCATTCTTCTGTGAAAATATCCATGGACAATCTCATCTCGTCGCTGCAATTGCTCTTGACGTGATCAACCACGAAAAGAAGGAAGGCTTGAAGGGGCGCCGGTGGGCTTCGCTGGACCCGGTTCGATGTTCGTCAAGCCTAAGGTCTCAGTCCTCGTCTCTCCTAGGTGGCATGTCCCGCGTTGGTTACATCGCGGTGGGTTCGATAGAAATAGTGCGCTCGCTTACAAATGCCAAGGTATAAAAACATGTTTATTTAATTATGTGTTTTGGAAGATCTGTCGCACCCCGATTATTACACATCCGGGTCTGCGTCAACACACGTTGTTTTTCACACCATTGCCATACAAAATCTTTGTATAAATGCACGTGGGTGCGTGAAAAACATCGTGTAAAATAAAAACCCACAAGCCAAAAATCTTGCGTATTCACGATGGCGGCTTTTGCATCATCCTCCATTTTCGCTTTTCCCGACTCGACCCAACATGGTGCTCCAGCGCTTCGGCCTCGAGCTGCGCACGTGGCCAGAGCTCAAGCAGCACCTGCTCTTTGAGCTCAAGCTCGCGCTCTGCGACTGGAAGATCCTGCTCTTCGGCCTGCTCTGGCAATGTACGACACCAAATATCATCGTCTTCTTGTGACTCACATTTCGTCTAGACCTGCACAACATTTTGCACAACTTGGCGTACTGGATCCAGTCGCGCTTGACGCCCGTGCAGCGCACGCCGCTGTACGACGTCGGCTTCAACCTCTTGCCCGAATTCACGTACGGCGACGACGCTTGAGTTGGCGGCTGAAAATGACACCGACTTGTAGCGAGTCGCAGGCCAAGGTGTCCGAGTACCTCGTGTTTGGCTGCATCTTTGGCCCATCGATCGTGCTCCTTGCGTCGGTCCCGTTCATCAAGCCGAAAGAGAACGGCAACGTCCGCTACGTCGCGGTCATTGCGAAGCGCTTCCTCTTCCATACGGCCATGTGCTTGGTACCTGCAAGTTTGACGGGGCACGCGAGCTGAGACAGAATTCTTTATCTAGTTCTTCCGCTGCTGCTCGTTCCTCGTGACCGCGCTCCCGGGCTCGGCGCCGCACTGCCGCCCAATGTTCAACCAGACGTGCTTGGATGCGAACCCGATCAACCCATTCTCGTGTGAAGTGCCCAACCCGGATTTCCAGCCGCCAACGACGACGTCGTATTATTTTTTCCACATTGATGCGCTGAACGGTGCGAGGACGAGGTTGCGAGGCGTGTTTTGATGGTGACGGCGTAGGCTGCGGCGATCTCATGTTCAGCTCGCACACCATGTACACCATGACGTTCATCCTGACGCTCTTCAAGTACTGGAAGAGCACGGCGCTGCTCGTCTTTATGCTCTGCATCCAAATCGCGATTGCCTTTTGCATTGTGGCGGCGCGCAAGCACTATACGCTGGATGTCATTTCGGCCCTCTACATCGTCCCGATGGTCTGGTTCCTCCAAGACGCGTACTTTGCCGATATCAACCACAAGGACCAAGGCGTGACACCTGAGAACATTCAGAAATTCTACCACATGCCCATGCCGGCCGACGACGCCGCGCGCATGACCGCCAACGCGCTGGAAGACGGCACGGACGAACGGCTCTCGAGCTTCTCGCCGTCCGAGGCGCTCACGTCGCAGTACAACACAGCATCCGACGACCCGAGCAAGGTGTCGCCCGTTGTCTAAAGAGTAGAAGACGACATCGTGTCGACTGTTATCTGAATGAGATCGCCTCGTATTTAGCCCCGTCTGATGTGTGTTCGCGGCTTGATTCGGTCCATTGCGCACTGTACTTGGCGATGGCCAAAATTCTGAATTATACAGGAAATTTTTTGAGACTGTGTTTCGTCGATTGTCGTTGCGGTTACAGGTTGTAAAGTACTACATGCGCGTTCATGTCTGGCCCTCGCGTCTGCACGGCCCCTCTCTCCTTGTCACTCGGCCTCGGGATCGTCGACGGCGACTCGTCACGGAGGCGCTCGGCGTTCTCAGTGTCCTGGTGTCCATCGGCCTCGTCTGCGTCGCGCTCGACATCTTTGCCTCGTACCTCTCCACCGATTTTTTTGTGCCCGACTTTGGCGCCACGGTGCACGTCCTGGTCACTACGCTGAATCATCAGCTCGCACTCAGTGGCACTGGCGCCTTGGATCTGATGTCGCCACACGCTGCCTACCTTACGTCGCTGCCCCGTGCACCGAGCCCTGCGTATGCGCGCCTCCTCATGTACGACGAGCTCACGACCGTCGAGAGCGCGGTCCGCGGTCTTCGGCAGCTCGCGTCGTCTCGCGTCGTCAAGATGGTGTCGCCGTACTGCTGGGTCGACTTGCAAAAGCGGTGGGAGCTGGCCTACACTGTGCAACGGCAAGCGCGCTGTTGGAGATGGGATGCGACCAATGGCGCGGTGCACCTCGAGACCGTTTTGCGCAACATCCAGTGGAAGTCCTTCCTCACGTCGACGCAAGGCCGGTTTCTCTCGACGATCGGAGCGCCCATTGCAGAGTCGAGCGCTGATGGTGCTGCGTGGCTCGCGGCACTCGAGACACACAAATGGGTGCCGGAAGGCGATGAAGTCGCGCAATGGCAGCGACATGGCATTGACCGCTTTACGCTCCAGTATGGAACGGGCTACGACATTGGTATCTCGGAAACAATCGAGATCGTGAACGCGCTCGGCCAGCGCCTCGTGCTGCCGCTCCAGGCCAAGCCGACGCTGAATCGCTGGGCGTTCCGGACAACCAATGTGCTTTACAACCTTCTCTACAACGACTTGTATGCAATTGGGACCAATCAAAGCCTCGTGCGGGGCACCCGCCGCTACTTTGGCGAGATCGATCCCCACCAGATCGAGACGTATTGCCAAGGCTACCCCCTTCGTCCATTGCAGCAGATCCTTCATGATGGTATCGGACCTCTAGGCAACATTGACATCAAGTGGGTACCCGCACCACGCCGCTTGATTCGCGCCGTGAGCCTCTTTCACGCAGCCCTGACCGCGCAGCTGCTTGCGAGCGCATTCGAAAAGCTCGGTCGCACGACGTTGTATCCAACTCCTTTGCGCTGGATGGACAAAAGTCTCCGCTTTTTCACGGGCAACCCGATGTGTACTTTTGGGGGACCCATGTCATTTGTGCAGCAAACACTCGGCTTTGACGATGTCTGCGGCGCTCCAGCCCCCTTGACGCTCGAGTGGCATGCCTACAATGCGCTGTTTGCTCTCGCTTTAAACCCGACACACGCAAGTACGGCGTGTGCACCGTTCGTCGAGCCTGGTGCGTGTCAGAGGCTTCTTGCGGACGCTCTGGCCCTCCGGGATACGTTGCATCTTGAGACGCCACCCGCGTCCTGGATCGATGACGTGGCAGCGTACAACGTCGGACTGTTTCAAATGCTTGTGCGCAATACATCAGCAATCGAGCTGGACCTGCAGCCACTCCTATCGCCAGACTTTGAGTTCCTCGGCGCCATGTACCTCTACGACTGGGCACATAATGAGCGAGAAGTGGTCCAGATTCAAGGCGACGCGGCGTCCTTCACACTCATGTCGTCTCTGTACCTTCCATTGCCACGTTCACATGACGACGCTGCGGCACCCAAGAGTTTGGGACCGTATCTCTGCTTCCTCGCGATGGTCACGTCGGCCACCCTTGCCATCACTGGGGGGTTGCTCCTCTGCGTTGGGTGGCGCACACGAAGCGCCATTTCCCACGACTGGTGGAGCTTTGTGCCGCTCACGGCTTCGGTGTGGGTGAGCCGCAACCTCCTCGTCTTACGTAGCGTCGCCGCCATTCTATGCTTGGCCACGGTGCCCATTAGCACAACGACGACGAGGAATGGCTTTGTGCGGCTTGTCGAAGGGCCGCGCTCCATCTGGGTGTCTTGCATCCTGGCCCTCGAGAGTCTCTGGCTCATGCTCGTCGCCCACAATGTGCTACTGCCACTTCAGCGTACGACTGCGAACACATCGCCGTTGCACGCGATCTTTGGCTGGTGTGGGATTCTTGCGCTCGACCAGTTGGCCCCACCGACGCTGTCTGCATCGCTGAATCGACGGTGCGACTCGGTCAACATGGACTCGATGGTGTACTGTACGAGCGGCACTGTGCACGTCGGCAGCTTTTGCCGCGTGCTTGTCGTCCTAAGCATCGCCGCCTTCTTCGTTTGCACGTCGTTCATCATGGCGCTTTGTCCTTGGTCGTCCCACGCTGAGACGCCCCGCCCAAACGCGATCTTGCCGCTGCTATCTCCTTGGCGCGTGACCCTCGGTGGGCACGCAGTGAGTGCGACAGCCGCGGTCATGTGTGGTCTCTTGCCCCTGCGTTGGCGCGGTCGCAGCTACCTCTTTGACGTCAAGCTCTGGCTCCTTCTGCGAGCGGACGACCGGGTCTTTGACGATGGCGCGGATGGAGACATTGTACTTCCTTTCAGCGCAACGCCAAGCGCGACGAGCCAAGGAATTGGCTCTTTGACGTTAAAGCACTCGTCCTGGGAACGGTTGCTTCGAGTAGCCGGCGTCGCGTACATTGGCCTCACCCTCTGGAGCAACGCTGCGTACTTGGGCGTATTGCAGAATTCGCTCGCAAACGATCTTGGCTGGGCGGGCTTCAACGCGACGGGCATGCACGCGTTTCTGGCCAACACGTTCAACGCTCATCTGCTCACGGCGTTCGACGCGCCGGTTTTTCTGCATGACGCATCGCTCGCCGACCCGCTGCAGCCATACAATAGCTCGAGCACCACGGTAGCAGGGTACCCCACCGTGGCGCGGCGGTATCTTCTGAGCACAGCGCCACCACTCGACGATCTTGTCGCGGGGCTTCGATCTATGGACCCGTGTCAGCTGCCGTGGATGTTTACGCAATACTGCTGGCTGGACATGGACCAGCGTTGGGAGATGGCGAGCACTCACGTCCGTCAAGCACGCTGTGGTGAAAATGCGGCGAACGGCGCGCTGTACCTCGAGACAAGCCTACGCAATGTGCGCGACTGGGCGCGGTGGCGACGTTGCTGGGGCGACTCGTTTGACATTGGGTTTCGTCGGTACCTGGAATCGTCCACCGCAGGTCGCATGTGGCTCGACGAGATACTAGTAGCACCCCGCAGGCGCTCTCGGTATCTGATGAAGTAGCGCACTGGCGCGCACACGGCATCACCCATTTTGTGCTGCAGTGGCAAAACTTTAAAGACACGGGCCTTGATGACGCGATGGTGATTTCGTCCGCGCTTGGCTTGTCCTACATGCTGCCCATCAGCCAGCGCGCCGGTGCCATGCACTTGGATCGCCAGACGTCACATCGTTTTTACTGGGCCTTGGCGAGCGACCTCTGGGCGATCAGTTCGAATACAACACGCATCGGCGGGCGGTCGCTCCTTCGGCAAAGTCCCGACTTTGCCTTTGCCAACGCGACACGCGCCAGTTTGCTCTTTGAAAACCTAACCCTATCGTTCCCACTTCCCGGCGGCCTGCACCTCTTGAATGCGTCGATCGGTCCCTTTGGTGCCGTCGACATGCTCTACATTAGCTGTCCGAGGTCCCTCCTGGACTTTTACGACGCGGTGCGACGGTCCATTGCGACCAAGACAACGGAGAACCTGCAAGCCCAACGGCAGCTTTTAGCGCTACCAACAAAACCGTACATTGGCCACGTGCCCATGTCTCTTTTGAACGACCCGGACGTTGGTATCGTTGGCGGGGACCTCACCTGCGGCAACGACATTCAAGTGTCGCCACCGTCCGGGGCACTCTACGCTCTCTTTGGCGCCGACTCGCTCTGCTCGTGGTGGCACTTGGAGTACTTTACACCGTCCAAGCTTGGTCTTATTTTTGCACTCACCGGCTTTGACGCGGGCCATTCGATGCAACCGGAGACGGACTTGGACGCGTTCTGCGCTCGCGATGTGTACGCCGAGGCAGCGTGCGTCGCCATCTACAACGCGTCGTACACGTTGGCGACGAGCTCCCTGTGTCGGTTGACGGCGTCGCTGCGGTCTCTGGCGACGACTGCTGAGTCGGATGCGCGCGCGCTGGGTATCCAAACCATACAATATCTTGTCAAGCCGTACAACAGTTCCAATATTGCGCTCTTCCAGGTCAACATTTTGGACGAAAGCGACCGCTCGTGGGTCTTTTTCGGATGGAACTACTTGGCCGAGTGGGTCGTCGGGCTCCGCGAAGTCGTCTCGTTCCAAGGCGATGTTGGCACGATAACCACCATCTCGAAACAATCCAAGCCCATGACGCTTGCGATCGACGACGCGGGTATCCCTACCCGCCTCTCCTTCGTCTGCCAGCAGTGCGTACGCTACGTCACGGGTACGATCATGCTCGGCGCAGCCGTCGCCGCCCTCTACGCTCTGTTTGTTTGCCGCGGCGCGTACGAAGGCGCGAATCTCTTTGCGTTGAATCGACTCGTCGGGCATGCGTGGGTCGGCCGCGCGTTG